TCTCCTCTCTTCACTTCTCCTCTTATCCTTCACTCTCCTCTCATCTCCTCTCCTCTCCTCTCCTCTCCTCCCCCTGTATTTGTAGACAGAGTCGCTTAGCAACAGGTTTGTAGGGTGAGTGAGGCCCAAATTGTCAGCATGGCCTGGGCCGGCTGTTCAGCCCAGTGTGTTATCCTCATGATGTGCTGCTAGGGGGCTGTGCTGCTAGGGGGTGTGGTGTGTGTGTGTGTGTGTGTGTGTGTGTGTGTGTGTGTGTGTGTGTGTGTGTGTGTGGTGTGTGTGTGTGTGTGTGTGTGTGTGTGTGTGTGTGTGTGTGGTGTGTGTGTGTGTGTGTGTGTGTGTGTGTGTGTGTGGTGTGTGTGTGTGTGTGTGTGTGTGTGTGTGTGTGTGTGTGTGTGTGTGTGTGTGTGTGTGTGTGTGTGTGTGTGTGTGTGTGTGTGTGTGTGTGTGTGTGTGTGTACATATGGGTGCACATGTGTGTGTGCTTCAGGCAAATGTTGTGTTCATGCAAGTCAGTATGGATTTCTGAGGAGTGGGAGACCTGCCTGTTTCTATTACCATCAAAGTGTGTGTGTGTGTGTGTGTGTGTGAGGCCTGCATGTATACCACTATCAGCTCTTCCTCTGATATTCTGCAAACCAAAAGCATTTTCATCATCACACTGGTCCTCCGCTTTGAGTCCCATCCAGGGAGTCTCTGATCCCAGGTCAAATATCCACAACTGCATCCCCGTCTCTACGGGGGTATTTTACGAGCTGACAGCAAAGAAAATGTCAGTACTTTATTTCTTGGGCCTGCGGATGTGCTGACTTAGTGCTATTGTCAGTTTACCTGATAGCTCCCAAGTGATAAACAGCCCTGGGCCTGGAGAGCTGGAGCATTACACACCAACACATTAAGAGTTTACTCAAGAGTGCTTGTCTGTAAAATGAGAAAGCTGGCATGTGTAGTGAAGATACAACTGAATAATGCCTCATCATTTGATTATTTAAAAGTGTAAAGTCAAGCATTTAATAATTAGAGTTCATCAATAAATATGAATTATAGCCAAATATGGCCTATTCGCTAATATCAAGCCATAATAGTTTGTATATGTATTAAATGAAGTAGGATACAAAAAAAGTTATCATATCCCAATTGCAAAATGAGTGAAATCATCATCATCACTTTTGAAATAGTTCCACTGTAGATTAGATATGATTCCATGGTGGATCAAAGGGTAAGAAAATGGTCAGTTTTACATCAGGTAATGTTGATTTAAGCAATCATACACGAGAGGCTGTTCTTTAACGTTTTCCAACGAGAGACAATATAACAATGTAACGGCTGTGTGTCGCTATGGAAACCACTACTTCTCCGCTGCTTTCTTGTTCCAGTTTGCAGTTAGCTTTTGAATTGTGGTACTTTTCCAGTTGGTCTACCTGCTCTTCACGTAGCTCTGCATGTTGTCGTTTAGGTGCTTTTTTTTCTAGGCACTCCTCAATCCAGTCCTCCACAGTAAGACCCCCCCGGAGGTTGAAGTTAATCTTAAATGTTTCCATATTATGTTTGCAAGCAGTTAGCTTTTCAGGCCAAGGGTATACCGTTTTTCTCAGACGCGGAGGGATACTGACTTGTTGTGAAAAGGCACGTTCTATTTGACCGTTCTTTGATCGTGGAATCAAACACGCCTATTGACCAATCAGAGAGCTTGCTCACACCTATGTGTTATAGAATTGATGATATCTGTTGGGTTAACACGACTTCTTATTGCCACAGTTAACAGGATGCCGGCTTTCGTCACATTGAAGCGAAGATGTCCTGTTTACACTCTTTATACCAAACCTAAGATTGTTTTCTTGTAGCTCCAACTTCATATTTAATGTCATAAAAGATGCATCAATCGCTAGCGAATTTCCTAACATTTAAAATGTGTACGTTTTCTTAAAATGAAAGGAAATCACACTTTGAATTATTAAGATCATGATCAAGAGAACTGAAACATGTGGATTGTGAGAGAACAAAGGAGAACACATGAAGACAGAGAGTTTAAAACTCATACAAAAAAGTGTCCAGACACACATGCATTCTCTTCATACAGATGCTTTGATCATTGCACACATCTGTCAGCTTGAATGGCTGTTTTACCGTGTCCTAATCTGACACTGATGAAGTCAAACATCTCCCTCCATCTCAGTGAAACCGTCAGCACACAGCAGCCTGGCGGGACTTAGCTCGCATGTCCTTGTCAGATTTCCAACCTGAGTTTGTGTTTTCTGCACCAAAGAGTCTGGACGTCAGACATCTTCTACTCCTACCAGACTGGATTGAATCACATCAAGCTGATCAGAGGCTGCGTTGGAGAGGGATCCGCTCCTCTGATTCAGTATTGTTCTTTTCAGGCCTTATCTCTGTTCTATTATACACCAGACACAAAGATATCTGTCATGGTTTTATGTCATATTTATCACATCTGTTGTAGGGTATTGTTCTATGAGACAGCTACTTGAAATCAAACTAAGAATGCTGCTTGTATTTAACTTACAGTAATGATTAAAAAAACAGCCTTGTGTGTCTATTTTAAAGCACATTGTTATACAGAACAACTTCAAGTCTTATCATCGATCTATGTCGATGTTTTACTGCGTTGTGACTTGTCATCAATTTGCCTTTTAGTCGATATTGTGATTGTGGCTATTGATTGTTGTCCCACGGCGTAGCATCATCGCTATAAAGAAAGCAATTCATGTCGGTTGTGTTCCAAATGGCCTCAAGCTTGATTATGCTGAGGTCAGAGCAATTTCACTATTGATCAGTGCAGCTGCTCTCTTGAGGCTCATTAACTGTGTGTGTGTGTGTGTGTGTGTGTGTGTGTGTGTGTGTGTGTGTGTGTGTGTGTGTGTGTGTGTGTGTGTGTGTGTGTGTGTGTGTGTGTGTGTGTGTGTGTGTGTGTGTGTGTGTGTGTGTGTGTGTGTGTGTGTGTGTGTGTGTGTGTGTGTGTGTGTGTGTGTGTGGTGTGTGTGTGTGTGTGTGTGTGTGTGTGTGTGTGTGTGTGTGTGTGTGTGTGTGTGTGTGTGTTGTGTGTGTGTGTGTGTGTGTGTGTGTGTGTGTGTGTGTGTGTGTGTGTGTGTGTGTGTGTGTGTGTGTGTGTGTGTGTGTGTGTGTGTGTGTGTGTGTGATGGGTGGGTATCGTTTGAAATGTATCGATTCCGGTTCTGCTTATCGATTCCGCGTTTCGATTCCAAAATTGTAAAAGAAAGAGGTCAAACGTTTAGATAACAACAATATCTTTATTCTTTTAAGCTTTAACTGACATTTTTTACAAATAAAAAATATACATGCAATACAAATGTATTGCACAATAGCTGTGCTTTATTTGAACTGAGCTGCCTGTGGCAAGCTATTAACAGGCTTTACACTGTGCCTTGTCTTTTTATTTTTTAGTGTAGTGGAGCCTCACTTCAGAGCGTTTACCGCGACCCATCTTTGGTGTTATGAAGTGACTGAGCTCGTGAACTGTCTACGGGAGGGCGGGGGAAGCCTCGCTGCGGGGCAACTGTGGACCTCTGTCGCCTGTCAGCGCAACTTACATGATGCCGTTAAGGGCGGTGCCGACCGTCAGCGTACCGAGCCGGCCGTCAACGGCCCTCTGACGACCGGCCGTTCTGTGATTCTCCAGAACACACAGATGGCCGGTCCGCCCTTACCCTGTATTCCACCGGGGCGCCGCGGCGCAGACGGACCCGCGGCGCAGACGGACCTGTTGCAATACAGGGTCTACCGTGTTTAGGAACCGTTAAGCAGAACCAAAATTGTGTATTTTGTATGGGTACCCGTTACCCGGCATTTTCTTATCGGTTCTCATCTGGAACAGAGTTTCGGTTCCCAACCCTAGTGTGTGTACATATGCTGGTATGGAATCACACAGGGAGGTTTTAAAGGATGAACAGTCTTAAAGCAGATGCTGTGTAAACATTGTTTGTCGTGCTGTAAACATTCCTCCTGTTCAAACTGACCATTAGAATACGATACGTTGAGATAAGATACAATACCTTATGATATCAAACGATAAGATACGATACGTTACGATAAGATATGATGCTGTCAGATCAAGTCTTGCATTAGAGCAGATCCATTTGCAATAAAACAAATAAATAAATACTTGTACAAGAAACAAAGGAACAGACATTCATCAAAACATTACAATATTTTCAGGACCCTTTAACGTACATTCAATTAAAACATATTTCCTTTTATGATTTACTTTTACACAAAAGAGTTCTTCAATTTATCATGGGTCCAATTCATATTTTCTGTTCAGGACATGGTTAGGTTCGGAGACAGGCAAGCCTCAAAATATTTGCATCGCCAGCTGATTGATATATATTCAGTCTTTGAACAGATTTTCATTTAGTGGAGTTGTCTTGTTACTAAAGCGTTAAACACTTGTCATGTAGTATTGCAATACTGTCGAACACTCAAATCATAGGTGTAAAGAGCCCAGAAAGTCTTAAGGCGGCGGGGTTAGAAACATTTTTTAATGTGTTTCCAGTGATGGGGGAGGCTTCCATTTTACATTTTCACATGCTTTTATTGTGTTAATCACTAAAACGATATTTAATGTAATCTAATATTTATGTCTACCAATCAGGTCGCTGGAGAGGAAGCTGCAGAGACCCATACTGGCGAAGTCCCGTACTCTTCCCAGCATCCCTCAGTCTCCTACAGTCTCCAGGGTCCATCACGCTGATCTGATTGGTGGAAGTCCTCCTCGCAGGAAGAACCCGCCCCCTGACGCCAACCACCCGAAGGCCTGCACGTTACCACCTGCAGGTAGAGAGAAAACTGAAAACAATCAACTACAGTATTTTCTTTTTGTGTTAAGAAAACATCACCAGGAGATTTTGCCATCCGTTCATCTCCTTGTTTTGTTTATTCATTCCTTTCTTCACATTATGTCTTTGACAAATCGCTAATCCGATTCCAATAAAGCCTGAGGGAATTCAATCAAACAATCCCCCCGGAATGCACTTCACACGATGATGGTGTTGTTTCTCAAAACCTTCCCTTTCATTCTAAAAAAACGTCTTTCTGCCAGGCAAAATTGGACCGTTTAGCTTTAGCAGCCGGTTCTCGTTCATTCACCAACAACCACTTTAGGTCTTCATAGCAAGAGTCCCAGAAGAGGCCAGATGATGATACATGACCTCTTAATCGTTCATTTGTGTGCCACTTGAGCTATATATCAGATAAGTGTGTCACGCTGGGTATACAAGCTAAAAGAGGCCACTACAGCTTGAACTAAACACTCAGACATGTCAAACATTTCCTTTGATATTTGAAGAGAGCACAATATATAATGGTACCTCTGCAAGAGCCTATTTTTTCTTTCTCTTTTGCTTGTATATCAAACACAGTCCCTTCACTGGAGAGGGGGAACTGACACCGAGAATCTGTAAGCGCTCACCTGTTTGAAATGTCAGCGGACCGGTTGATTTTTCCATGGATCAAAAAAGCATTTATGGTGATGTTATGTAAAACGAAACAACACAGTACAACACAAACTCTGCATGTATGTTTCTCATAACAACTAAATAAAGAACCAATGTTTGTCAACCATTCACCTGAACATTTCCTAACCATACGCTGCTAGAGCCTGTGACCTACATACAGTATGTGTTAATACATTCATCATTTTCTCACTGGATAATTAAACTTCAGTTGATTCTGATTCCAGCAGCCCTCACACGTTTCCTAAGTGGGTCATTTGTAAAGCAATCTTCTCTGCAACCCTTTTACAACATCCGAGACACGGGCAGAATCCACAATTATCAGCGAGCCTTCACGTCAGACATCCTGGTTCCCATGCTCCGACAGACACAGCGGTAAACAGCCGCCTGCTGATTCACGTCACACAACGGCTGACTTTGAGTGAAGCTCCCCTCCGACACCAGATGGAAGAGGATTGCCACATTTCAATTGTCGGGGATACGGGAAAGTGCTGCGTTATGATCCTCCTTATGTTTAATACAGGAGGAGCTGAATCCGCACTGTTCCCTCTGTGCAGCAAAGGATCTGTGTAACTTTACAAAGACAGAAAAGAAACCAAAACAAATCTGAAGAACTTAAAATAGGAAGCCTTCCGCTTGAAATAAACAAAAAACCCTCTGGATTCACAAAGACACACAGCGACACAAGACGTAGAAACTTAGAAATAATCTCAGATAAGCACAAAGTTTTCAAAACAACAACAGAAGCCTCTTTTCGTGCTAACCCCCGAGCCAACATGTTGTGGTGCTGTAAGGAGGCAAGGATGCAAATGAAGTCGAAAAGGCTTTTTGCAATGTCACTGCAGATGGGTATGTTGAGAGGAAGAGCAGGAATGGTTCAGACAGTCAAACGAGAATCCTGGAGCACAGGGAACAAACAAGCATGAACCTGGGTAACGAACCACAAACAAGGACAACACTTCTCAAAAGAGACTATCGCCTGGCCTACCACTGTGACTGGAAGTACCAATTTGGAGAAGAAGGGCCGTTGTTGATGTTCCGGAGAGGAGATGACGTACATGCAGACAGGTGTTTTGGAAGGGCAGCGTCCAGATAAACAGCAAGATGGGAACAGGACACACACACACACACACACACACACACACACGCACACACACACACACACACAGAGACATAGAGGGGACATGGAAGAAACAGGAAGGGAGGGACAGGGGGCAGACCAGGCAGCATAACACTTTTTTGGGCCAGATTGGACAATGTTGAAAGAGGGAGATAGAGGGGAATACATTTCACTTCATTTGTATTTGTTCCGTTCATGGTATGCACAACTTAATGTATAATAATTGTTTACAAAACATGTCTCTATAAACACATCATTGACCGAAAAGGAGCAGGGAGAAGAAAATAATCTTATATTACCTAACCCTTTCTAAAAAAAAGTAAATAGATGGTCTGTCCTTCATATTTTCTTATTCACAGCCAAACATAACAGTATCGTAGGAAAATAAGAGAAACACACTTGACGGTTAACGGAAAGAAACAAAACAGAAAACAACAACACCAAAACATCACATGAACAAGGAAGAGTGCAAGTCCTCATCATGTGTAAAGGGAGTGAAAGCTGGACTCAGATTTCTCTGAATTTGGAACCAAAGGATACATTGATTATAGTTTGGTGGTCAAAGGTCAAGGCCACAGCAACATCACAAAACACATTTGTAGCCATAACTAAATGCTTATTATGGTAACGTGGACAATTTCACACACATGCAATGATGTCATTTTGGAAAGGCATGGATTAATGAACTGGTTGCTTACCACTAAGGGACATCTGCGGGCGACTTTGCCTTTTGTTTAGGTTCAGTTGATAATAAGCCCTTAATAAGTGCTTGTTCAAGTGAGTTAATAAAAGTTAAAGACAAATAAAACCCTCCTTTTCCCTCCTTCTCATCCTCGTGCCAACTCTCTTTACCTTCCACGATTATGTGAATGTCCTCCATAACCTCGGCCCTCTCTGCTTTAAACCAATAGATATCTGCTATTACTCCTCTTAACGATCGCGGACTTAATGACATTCACTCCGATTGGTTTATTTAGTGCTTCTATTTTATGTCCTTACTTCATGTCTGACTGTCTGAGCGTGCGTCCCTCCGCCTGTTTCCCCTCGCCCTACTGCGGCTCCGCTGCAAATATCAAATCGAGGGAGACGGTCTCACGTGGCCCCTTGTTGCCTAGCAACCACTGTCATCGACCATGATATCGCCTCTCCCCGTCTACCCCTCTCTCTTTCTCTTAATCTCCCCAGTAGTGCTGAGAAACTTTTCTTAAATTCAAGTTGTTTAATATCCCAGCTGCACTTCATGGATTGAAGCAACATCCCTTATTAGTGGCAAGTGTGCCTCCGAGCTACTTTGGGAACTCTTCCCTGGGCATTTAGTTTCAGTATAATTTGGCTCCGATGCATTTTTGGCTGCGGCTCAGGAAGTGGAACTGATACGTTAATACTTAACACTCTGAAGATCATTCATAAGCACTCGCAAAGACAGTCACTGCAGAAAGACCTGCTGCTGAAAGCTTTTAATAACAGCTTTTATTATAAGGCGATTTGCTTAATGTAAATGTGCCTTTCCAAAGAGATCAGACAAAACATTGGATAGTCATTTCAAGGCTTGGTGGGTAAGGCTCCAACATATTTAGCTGTCTCCACACCTTGTCTGAATTTAACTAAGACATTTTATTTTATTTTTTTCGGTCGATGTTAACTAATCTATGATCCAACTGTAAAAAGAAAAAAGTCATATTTTTATGCTTTTAATTATGTGTTTTCATCAGCAGTGTTGAAAAGGATGTGGCGTCAAATTAAGATCAGTGGTATGTAAATGTAAAATTAGTCAAAAAATAAATTCTGTCAATTAATTATGTTAACTTGAAATTGTAAGGAACTAAATTAACACAAAGTTAATAATATTTAACAAGTACAACTCAAGTTACCTAGGCAGCATTAGTCATATACAGTTTAACGAGTTATCCTACTATTTTTGCATAAAATAACCATTCTCAGGTCCTTGCTGCAGCTAACCAGTAACAGTTTCTCTAAAGTCAGTTATTTTGTGTTACAGTGTAATGCGATTGAGATGGAAGCTTGTATACATTTTTACAGATCCATGTTTTTCTTAGCTTATTTTTTCATTTTACACATTTTAATTCCACTGGGCGTTATTTCAATTCCTTTTAGAAGTATAAGTGAGCGTACTTCAATAGACCTGTTCTAAAAGACCTTTAACTTGGCTCTTCTTTCACTGGAAATTGCTTGTCAGATTTCCCTCACCTTGATGGACAGAGCCAGTGTTGCCTACCCAGCATGCCTCAGGTAGGTAACTGAAGGACCAGTAAGTGTTTTATGATTGCTGTTAGTCAGGTGTTGGCCGCTGACTGGGGCGTCTGACAAATATCAAACGCAGAGCAATGGAAGTCCGCTGTGATTATTGCAGCGCAGCTCCGTTCTGATAGCACACATTCATCTCCGCGTGGCTGCGAGAGCTCAGACATAATGTGAGAGGTGGAGGAAAACGCCACTCTCCCTGCAAATGTGTCCCTCCCTCATTTTTACATCACTTCTCCGGAGCGTATGGAATGATAATGAAGTTGTTAAGGAGGCCGGCTAAGAATAATATTTAGGTGTAAAAAAGGGACCGTAAAGGGAAGCTTGAAGACGTTCCAGAAATGTTTTATGGAAGCAATCGGCGGAGGACATTCCACAATTAGTGGAATAAGTTTGCAATAATTACCTTGTAGAAATAAATATTCATTATCAGTCCAATCTGTCTCCCTCTCATTATCTCCGGCATTCCTTTCTTCTTCGCTTGTTTCCTTCTTGATTGTTCTCTAATCTTGTCATTTGTTTTCTTTCCCCTCCCGGCTACTTTTCTTCAGCGGAGCTTTGGCGTTTGGAGGACGACATGGAGGGCGAAGATGAGCCCGAGCATGGGGGGTGCACCCAGGTTCGCCCTCGCTCCCAGTCGCCCTTTTCCCACTTCCGGGCGCGAGCTGCTTACCTCCGCAAGAGCGTCTCAGCGGACGACCACCTGGACATGGGCGACGACTTCAGCCCCGACCCCCCAGTGGAGGTCAAGCCGAGCCGTAGCAATAAGGGCAAGCTGAAGAGGAACTTCGTAAGTCCCTTTTTTTCCTTCGTTTTGTGGCTGAAAGACATTTTTAATCCCAAAAAAAAAAAAATCATCTTCAATTTCCCACATCCCATACAAGGGTTCGTTCTACACAATGCCCTCTGCTCTTTTGGTTGGATTGAAAGTGATTCTTTAGAGCAGGGGTCACCAACCTTTTTTAGGATGAGAGCTACTTTCAATTTGGGGGTGGACCTCACATATTCTCGGGGGGTCCGAAGATTTTTTTTTTAAATGTTGAAGTGAAATGCATCAATCTGGTGCACTTTGAGCACAAAATGAATTTATGGATACAGCTCTCAACACTCATGAAAGGGAGCTGTATAATCCAAACATCTTTAGAATATGATCACAACCAATAACAAATCATTTAAACTTGTTTATTCTTATCTTATGTTACCTAGTTACAGTAGCATTCTTTCTTTTAATTTATGCATATTTGACTAATCACTCCCCTTTTAAACTGTTATTTTTTTACTGTCCTATAGTACACATTGGAATGATTTCTTACTTTATTGCTGTGTGCTCCTCCGTGGCGATGACGGCTCGCGTTAAACAATAATAATAAACATATTTGTAAAGTGGGGGGACACAAACGGGATTTCGAAAAGTGGGGGGGGACATGTCCCCCCTGTCCCCAGTGGAAATTACGCCATGCGTGTGTGTGTGCTTCAAGTGCAATAAATATATATGCAAGTTGCAACGCACACACAGTAAAGCTCTGCCCCTCATGTGCTGTACAGGCTGCACGACTAGGCTGTTCAATGGGGCTGATGCGTTGTGTAGATTCTGCCAGAAGGAACATCACGGTCACACTCCTTAAAGTGTGCGGTGAGGTGTCGCTCCACATTGCTTTTTTTCCCGACTGCAACGCTGGTCCGCAAATCAAGCAAGAACGTGATTGGTCGATATTCATTGTGTGGGTGGGGGGAGGAGGGGTGTTAGATAGATATAGAGTTGTAGTAAGTAGATAGAGTTCGCTGTGATTGAGGTTTCATTTATGCATAGGGTAGATTCTTTTAATTACATTTCCTTTTTGTTTTGTGTATTTTTTACATTTTGGATATGCTTTGCGAGCTATTTTTAGAACATTCCCCGCGGGCGACTCACGTTGCCCCTGTGGCCGACTAAGTGCCACAGGGGCCACGCGGGCACTTAGTCGTTGGCTACCCCTGCTTTAGAGGTTGCTACAGCTTTTATGGTCATTTTAGTCGAAAGTGACACCATTTTTCTTACTTTCTACAATCATTTGCCATCAAGCAGTCATTCACAGCAGCTTTCAAATGAATACAGCATGTCTCGCTCTCTCATATCTGTCCGGTTTCCCTTTATATTCTCTCCTACCCCCCGTTATCTTTAGGATGTTTTAATATCCCTGAATCAAATGGTATAATTAATTACACATGACTTTTATCACCCAATTATAAAGTTTCAACAATTATAACAACGTGATCACTTTGGCAAACTTTCTCCAAAGCTACTTTCTGGTTTCCTGTTTTCTAAACAGTTTTGACCCGACCTAGTTCTCCTGATTTCATCTGATTGCACGAGAATCAATTGCCCCACTTATGATTGTTACTTATATTAAAAAAATGGAAGAATTGTTGTTATAACTCCAGTGGATCTTTGGGGGGGGGGGGGGGGGCAGCAGTGATGCCAGACTTGGGTAGCAGGCTGGCTGAAGATGCATTAAAGATTAAAGAGCTCTATATTGTCCCCTGGTCACTGGAGCAGGTAACTGGAGACCTCATTACCAGCCTCAACTTTGTAATTGATTCTCCGGTGTCTCCGCTGCAACAGGACACCGGCACGGTGAGGGGATAGTCTGGGGGGAAAAGTTTGTATCTATAGCAAAGTGCTGGATGGGGATGCTGTCTGAAATGTAGCTGAAAAATATTGCACTGTGTTTGAGATGTTATGTTGGGAAACAAGCAGTTGAAAGACTTTGGATTTCATCTGGAATTGGTGTTGGAGATTGAAAGGAGTTACCATTCATCATCAGCACTTTGTGGGTCAGACCTGAGGATCCTAGGAACACTTGTGTCGGTGCGATGGGGACAGCACTGGACCTGATGACCTGCCGCGTGTGTTTTGGGGTGAGAAGACATCTTGTCCTGTATTCCTGTTGTAGAAAAAGCATTGTTTCTGTGGTGCAATACAACCAGCAGTTACCTCTCTTACACAATATGACACATTTGGTAAATGCTTTGCAGTGTACCTTTTCTGCAGCCCAGCAGGGACAGCCATTTCACAAGCCAGCCAGGAAAACTGACAGAAATAAAAACATATCAACGGGTCATCAAAAAGATGTGTTCAGGTTTCTTTCCCCTTAACGGCGTATTCTTTCAATTCAAGTGTCATCTTTGAGGCACTATTTAGACGTTTTTTCCACCGTAGGAAAGATTGAATTTATGCTGCCTGTCGTCTCTTTTGTTCTTTCCTTTTTGCAAAAGCAGCTTTGTTGTTTGTGAATGCAAGGAAAATACTTTCAGTTTGACCTATTGTTGATCTTTTTATTCACCTTTTACGAGCAATACAGGGACAACATCAACGGTTATGGCTCGATGAATTTAACTCTGGAGGTCGACACAGCAGAGCAACAGTGCGTCAATATCAGGACGATGAAGCAGCAGAAATCCTAATGAGATACACTGAAGGGTGTGTGTGAGCAAGATAAAGAGAGGATCAACCCACATGTTTGTAAGACTGCCAAACTATGCATTATGCTGATAGTTAATGATCTAATCTCAACGTTTCATCTCATCCCCAGCTTTTAGTGTAAACACTGTTTTGAAGGCCACTCCTCTCTCGCTATTAATAGCATTAAAGCATTTGTGATCTATGGAACTGCTTTATCCGGCAAACACAACACCAGCTAATCCTACATACTCAAACAAGGGTGTGTGTGTGTGTGTGTGTGTGTGGATGTATGTAACTATATTGAGCCAGTATTGTCTCCTGTTGTGACACTGTACGATGCTTCCTGCAGAACAGCTGGAGTTTGTCGCCTAATAACGTCATGCAGTTTTATTCGAGTCTCACCTCATTTCTCAGTGTTAGTTTGACATCTGGGCACTGATCTGAGGTCACCTTCATACTCAGATGGTGATAAATAACACCTGAAGGAGGTACCTTTGAAAAATAGACTTCTTCCAGGGACAGAGCGTGGAGTCCCGAATCTCACTGAGCTTTTTCCGTCTCAAATGTACGATAAAAAACATTGTGAGTGTATTGCACTCATCAACAATGTTTTAATCTCTTGACATAATGCAGCTTAATCAGTTTGGATTCATTTAATACGAGTGTCCACAACTGTGAAATCTGTTTACCTCCATAAATATGTTGTGTGTGTTATTTATGCGTCACTGTGTTACGCAGCTGGGGCTGAGTAAGCACATAATCAAAGTGCGAAGCGTGAAAAGCTGTAACTACACAACACTTTGCTCAGGCTGATTCGCAGCCCTTCAGTCTGACACACACTCTGTTTGCGAGATGACTCAGAAAGTTTTTATTATAGGAAACAAGGGGAGTCAATGTTCCTCCAATTTCCTCTTTTTAAAAACAAGGGAATGGAAATAGTTGTTTATCTCCAGCTCGGATTTACTCAGAAACCAACAGGAAACACACAGGATGAATTTCAAACAGGTCATGTACATGGATAGGTACTGCCACACACACACACACACACACACACGCAGGGCTCTTTATTCAGCACTGGCAGGACACTCAGTGGTACCCAGTGCCTCCGATGAAGCGGATGATATTCAGCACGTTGCTTTGGTCAAAGGGACTCAAGGTCTACTGGATTGGTTTAAGAGTCACCGTTGCCTGTTGCTACGCCCCAGTTTGACATCTGCTGTCAGGAAACAGGCACACTGTGTTCTGCTCAGGCACAATCATACATAAGCATGCACATCACACAAGCCAGAGGACATCCTGCGTGAAAAACACATGTATTGAAATTGGCGAGGTTTGAATGGAGATAATAGGAAGCGATACACTCTGCCATCTTATGTGTAATAGCGGCACACTTGCCTTTCTAGCAGAATTCATTCCCCTGAGGGACGCACTGCAGGTACCTATATAAAGATCTCTATGAGCAGATACTACAGGATCTATTGTGCCTGTATGAAGAACGAAGATGTTCCTTTAGTTGTCTGGTGCATTTGAAAGCAAGAGAGGAGCATTATTACAGTTTGAAATGGGCTCTGTGCTCGACAGCATTTATGTTGCTTCTTTCCCATCTGTTTCATCAAGTGTTGCGCTACAGCCTAAACCCCTTTGGATGCAATGTGTTGTTTCTGCAATGAATCATGGGGCTTTATATTAGCTGTCACTGCCATCTGATGCGTCCTAAGATGGCACCCAAACCTCTTGTTACATCTCAAAAGATAAAGTCAGACCAAAAACATAATAATAACTTAATGTTTCATGCATATGTTTCAGCATTAGTGAGCTTTTCAGAGTTGGTTAGAAGGCGTGTGAGTTTCTGTTAAAGCTGGGCAATATGTCTATTTTTTTAATGATATGAGAAGAATTGTCTTAGATTTTGGATATCTTAAAGGTAGGGTAGGTAATTCACTTCAGAAACACTTTGTTATATTCCATGGAATGCTCTTAACATCCCGATAGGAATGAATATATTAAATGCTTTGGCAATAAATACATAAACAAATATTTCATCTGAGGAAGCCGTGGCGCTGTAAAAAGCACGACCAATCATCTGAGCCGGCTGATCAAAAGTAACTGGATGGCCTACCTGCCTGTCAGCCTTCCATCTCGTGCACAAACGTATCTCGTGCCCTCAATGGTCATGTGCGCGTTCGTGTGTGTTGGGGGAGGGGCTCTGTAAGGAAGTCTGAAGGAAGGGGCAGATTTTTATCGGCTGCGTACTTTCAAATTCTAGCGCGCTCGAGCTGGTTTCTCCATTCTTCTCCATTCTACCTTTAATATTGCATAAGTATTATCATTTCCTGATGTTAAAGGCA